TTATATGATTGAGACTGTAAATTGTACTTCTGAGTCACACACATTTTACTGTGGATTTTTTTAGGACCGTGTGGGTACATTTTAACCGCTGCTGCTGTTTGATTAGATATCTAATATGGGCCAGGAAAAACATCCAATATAAGGTCTAATCACTCAAACAGAAACTGGGATTTATCAGTTTTGTTCAAACAATCACCATCATTCTTCCCTTTTAGCTTTTCTCAAGATAAAATAATAGTATCATAGCATGTGATCCCACACACACACACGTAAGGTTTCCTTTGTACCCTTTGTCATTTAAGCGTAAGCTTTAACTGTCTTTTTATTACAAAAATGGTCTTATAAAATTTCTGTGCAACAATCCATTTTTGTAGTTATGTCCGTTTAAGCAAATTGTTGGTAGTTTGACAAGTCATAGTAATTTTGGGGAAAATTTGCTTGATGGCACTGCAGTGGCCTCTCATTGACAAGAGGACCAAACTGTGAGACTGACCCCTTAACTCATAGGGTAAAAGTCAATACATAATTCCCATTGACTTCAGTAGGGCCAGATTTCACCCCTACTTCCGAAGAGTGAACATTGAACGTTTTCTTGAAATAATATTGTTACTCTACCCATTAGGGTGCCGCTTACAATGGAGAAGCATTCACAGCAAGTTACAGCAAAAGAACGTCTGTGTTAGTGTTGAGGCCTAAGGTGTACCATGTTAAGCTGGTCTGAATCTAAGTTCTGCAATAAGATCCTTTGATTCTGCAGCATTCGTGTGGAAATTTTCCATCAATTTCCAAAAAATTTATAAAAATTAGATTTTCATTAAATTAAATATAATTGAGTAATTCCATCCACAGAGTACCCCCCGTGTTGTTTATTTTGCTAGTGCAAGAATCTGAATTTAATATCTCCACCTTTTCAGTTTTTTATATGCCACAGTATTTTGTATTGATAACGCACAACTACATTGTAAAAGTCAGGGAATTAGGAGGTTTTGGTATCTGGGGAGGTCTGGGAGGCAACTGGTTCAGCTTCACCAGAGGTAACAATAATTGGAACATTAGAGTAGATGGGGCTCCCAGCAGATAACACCATCTTATCTGTCTTGATGTACACCTTCCTTTAGTGCAATGGTGGGCAACCTGCAGCCCATCAGGGTAATCTATTGGCAGGCCACCGGACAGTTTGTTTACATTTGCACGGCCGCCTGCAGCTCCCATTGGCCGAGATTTGCCATTCCCGGCCAATGGGAGCTTTTTCTAGTTCAGCTGAGGCAGCTGGTGCATCAGGATCCCTTGTTCTGTCTTGGGGCTTTGATGTGCCCCAGTGTCCTCAGGGCTGGCTGCCATGGTGTTTACATAAGGACTCTGATATGAATAAATTTGAAACCTTTAAATTACACTGTATTTTATCTTAACTATTGTATATATTCATCTGAGTATCTCTAATGTCTCACTCAGTAGTGTGGCACCTGAGTGCAAACAGATTTGCCTAAAGCAGGCAATCAGTTAGAAAGATTTTCTTTCTGTATGTTTTCCTTGTGTGGTATGCTGCGGTATGCTATGGATTTCTTAACTATTATTGTATTACTTGATTTGTTCAGGGAAGTAATGCTAGGCCATTTTTCTGGCTATCGTTTTGGGAAAATTACTTCAAAGACCGCTGTCTTGCATGTGGCTCATAAAACGTTAAGATATTTGGTCATTTTGATTTCCAAGGAAAGTATTCTACAGCTGTGGGCCAGCCATTGGAAAAACCCTTGCTCTTGCAAATTTCACCTAAAGCATTAACAGCCTCATTGCCCTAGATGTGATAACAGTCCACAAATATTTAGAGACAATCACAAGGAGAGAGGAATAATTTAGCGTAGTACAAGAGAGTATATTCTGTATTGTGAATTTGCTCCGATTCCTGTAAATGCTTACCAGCCACAGATGTACAAAACCCAAGCACAGACAAGGAAAGCCACAATGTGCACTGGTTGAGCTTTTCCTTGTTTAAAATCAGGATAAGCTCTACCAGACCAAATTCCTTGTCTACCAGTGCAGCTGTATCCATGGCTCGCCATCAGTTAGGACTGTGCCTTCAATCCTGCATTGTAGACAAGGCCTAGGAGTAATGTTACAGCACCAGTTCTTCCCTTCTGAGTTTCCGTTATAATAGGACACAGGCTCATGTGACCCTATATAAGCCAGTTACTAGCATGTGAAGTTTTAAAGGTAGGGCAGTATTTTAGGTTACATGACCCCAATTCAGCCAATTAGATTTAGTAATCCCAACATATATGTAATAAATGCAATATTAAAAATATATAGTTCAGCTATTTGGAAAAGGAATCCCAAGTAATATGTGTTTTGTTATAGTAGCTTTTAATTATACCAATGTCAGCACTTGTATTTAAAATTCCCTTTTCTATTAGTTTGACTTAGCCATAAAAATTCCTTCAGAGCTGAAACGTGAAACTCCAGGGATGAATTTTCATTTCCAGTTTTTAAGAAGAGTTATGACTTCTTAAAAGTCAGCATGGATTCACCAAGGGAAGGTCATGCCTGACTAATCTAATCGCCTTCTATGATGAGATTACTGGTTCTGTTGATTAAGGGAAAGCAGTGGATGTATTGTTTCTTGACTTTAGCAAAGCTTTTGACACGTCTCCCACAGTATTCTTGTCAGCAAGTTAAAGAAGTATGGGCTGGATGAATGCACTATAAGGTGGGTAGAAAGTTGGCTAGATTGTTGGGCTCAACGGGTAGTGATCAATGGCTCCATGTCTAGTTGGCAGCCGGTGTCAAGTGGAGTGCCCCAGGGGTCGGTCCTGGGGCTGGTTTTGTTCAATATCTTCATAAATGATCTGGAGGATGGTGTGGATTGCACTCTCAGCAAATTTGCGGATGATGCTAAACTGGGAGGAGTGGTAGATACGCTGGAGGGCAGGCATAGGATACAGCGGGACCTAGACAAATTGGAGGATTGGGCCAAAAGAAATCTGATGAGGTTCAATAAGGATAAGTGCAGGGTCCTGCACTTAGGATGGAAGAACCCAATGCACAGCTACAGACTAGGGACCGAATGGCTAGGCAGCAGTTCTGCGGAAAAGGACCTAGGGGTGACAGTGGACAAGAAGCTGGATATGAGTCAGCAGTGTGCCCTTGTTGCCAAGAAGGCCAATGGCATTTTGGGATGTATAAGTAGGGGCATAGCGAGCAGATCGAGGGACGTGATTGTCCCCCTCTATTTGACATTGGTGAGGCCTCATCTGGAGTACTGTGTCCAGTTTTGGGCCCCACACTACAAGAAGGATGTGGAAAAATTGGAGCGAGTCCAGCGAAGGGCAACAAAAATGATTAGGGGTCTGGAACACATGACTTATGAGGAGAGGCTGAGGGAACTGGGATTGTTTAGTCTGCAGAAGAGAAGAATGAGGGGGGATTTGATAGCTGCTTTCAACTACCTGAGAGGTGGTTCCAGAGAGGATGGTTCTAGACTATTCTCAGTGGTAGAAGAGGACACGACAAGGAGTAATGGTCTCAAGTTGCAGTGGGGGAGGTTTAGGTTGGATATTAGGAAAAACTTTTTCACTAAGAGGGTGGTGAAACACTGGAATGCGTTACCTAGGGAGGTGGTAGAATCTCCTTCCTTAGAAGTTTTTAAGGTCAGGCTTGACAAAGCCCTGGCTGGGATGATTTAATTGGGGATTGGCCCTGCTTTTGAGCAGGGGGTTGGACTAGATGACCTCCTGAGGTCCTTTCCAACCCTGATATTCTGTGATTCTATGACTTTTTAAAATTGTACAGTAATGTTTTTAAAATGTGCGTATTTGTCATTTTAAGTCATGTATGTATTTATAACTCAAAGCCTTTTTTAAAATGGAATTTTTGTAGTATTTAATCATATTAGTGCTTTAAGCTATTAACATGGGGAACAATTTAAAAGTTCCACAGCTGAGGCCTCAATATGAGCTACTGCACCTCTTCATTGATTATTGGCAATTAAAATGCTATGAGCAATATAAATGTAAACTAGGATAAATTGTGGACAATGAACCAAATCTGAATACCCGGGTTTGATGCATAGAGATTTCACAGGGGCTGAAGGAAGGAATTCCTCCTTCCAAACTGTAGAGCATCAACTGAGCCACGCTGCTGGAATCTCTCCCCTAAACATGTGAATGATTAGTACGTACCTGAGGATGCACCTAGCTTGACCTAAAAAGCTATTCTGTGGAGAATCACAGGTAACCTCTCACAGCGCTGAGCCTTGGCTTTCAGATTTTTCTTTCTGCTGAATCCTGGTCCTTCTACTCTTGCAGGGTCAGGATTAGCTTTAGTGTTCATTTGTGGTAGCCTTAATAATAATACAGTCTGTAGCAAGGACTAACTGTTTATCACAATTGGGGGAAATGATAAATGGCAAAAATGTCAAGTTTCAGAATTTAATAAAAAAATTAATTGTTGGACAAGATTTCTTCTACTCTACATTTTTAAAATGTGTTTCTCCACATAGTTTTCATTCTGAACTTCTAAATCATGTTTCAGCCCTGTCAGTTTTTTTGGGTGTGGTACAGTTTTTCCTCTTGTTGTTTGTACAGATTTTATAGATACTGTCAAATCCCTATCTACTTATGATACCTAAAACCTCAACAAATTATCATAAAAGTTTATTGACTTCTTTTTGAATCATTTCATTTGTAACCATAAAACTCCCCTGCCTTGCTCTCCAGCTAAGTCACTATTGTACAATATGAACATTTTTTTCATTTCACGTAGTTCAGAAGGGTTTGTGATTCCTGATCTGTTTCTCCCTCAGCCAGGTAGAGATGAGAATTGAGCAGCGGTAGAACATGTATGTCTTTGTATACTCCTGTGGGAGTTCTGCTCATGCACAGAATTCATGTCCCCTGCAGATTTTTCTCCCCCTGCAGAATAATACATTCTGCTGGGGAGGCATTGCAATTACAATTTTCGCCCACCAGGGACTGATGTGGTGCCAGAAGAGAGGGCAGCCCACTCAAGGTTGGAGCAGCCAGCCAGGGAGAGGGAGGGAAAGAGGCTGCCTTCCTCACAGCGCGCTGCCTGCAGGGCCAGGTGAGGAGGCACGGGATATGTGGGGGAGGGATGGACAGAACAGGCTACATGTTGTTGCTGGGGGTCACATAGACAGTGGTTCAGAAGGGCTAGTGGTGGGGGGACAGACTGGGGTGGGGGCACAGGAGCTAGTGGAGGACAGGTTTGAACCAGGGGCTGAATGGGTATGGGGGTGCATGGAAACATGGGGATGGAGGAGAGGGTGCAAAGACACATGGGGACAGGGACAGATGTGCCTGACTGAATGAGAGAGGCTGGGGTCAGCCAGGGTCTGCATGGGGAGATTCCTCAACTCCCTAACCATCCTTCCACTGCTAAAAAAAACCTCTCTTCCATACTCCTCCAGCCCATACCCAACTACCCACCAGGTTCACTCCCAGGCTCCCACCCAGCAATTACTTCCGTCTCCCTCAACTCCTCCTTTACCCCTTACTCCCTAAATCCTTTGCACTGCTTCTGAGAGGTGCAGGAAATACTTTTCTGTATTGTTGTTTAAATGAATTATTACTCAAAATTGTGTATTAATATGCCTTGTAAGGAATCTATTTGTCAAAAAACATTTCCTGAATCTTTTCTGCTGTCTGTACTGTTACAGACATACTTGCTGACAGGTATTTTGAAATAAATTACCAAAATAATTGAAACTGGTGTGAGTATATTGTTATTTTGAAAATTAAGATATGCCATATGTTACAGAATTTTAAAATATTGTGTGCAGAATTTATCATTTTTTGGCACAGAATTACCCCAGGAGTACTTGTGGCAGTGGAAAGAAAGTGCCATGGCAGTTCGTGACCCCATGGCCTTTTTAATAGTAGCACTGATGAGGTCTTAATGAATCCCATCCAGTTCTCTGCTAGAAGATTGAGACTGCATCATGAAGGCACACAATAAGTGTTGAGTACATACAGATACAGTATTAACTAGTCTTTTATAATGAAGCCTCCTGGGTCCAACAGGAGGAAAAACAGGTATTCAGACAGCAATCTTTCAGGGACCTAAAACCCCAGAAGGAAGGAAAAACTTAATTCTTTACTTGTTTTGTCCTTTCTGGAGTTGAGAATAAATAAGAATTTAGAGCATAAAGAAAATAAGGCAATTAGCAGTTGTCTAATATACTTCCCACAGTTAGCTTCAGTGAAGCATAATATGCTATTGAGTTAATCCAAATACTAGCTGAGCAATATTAAGTAGGAAGCAATAAAACTACAGACTCAGATAGGTGAAACATTTGCACATTGTAAAAAGAAGTTAAATAATTTGAATCTGACACTATGAATCACAAGCAAGAGGCTGACTAACGTCTTTTTAGAAAATGTAACTTCCTGTGAGCCCACTACAAAGAAAAATGCACCACAGAGATTGCTAGTGTTTTATTAATTGAAATAATGGCTTGGCACTTACAGCAAATTAGCATCAGTATAGATAATGTGCTTGCTAATGGAAATATAGAAAGTCATAACTGAAGGTTTGTTTTCCCTGCATAGCATCTGCAGTTTCATAAAGGATGCTATATATCTCATGCCAGCAATGGTAATCACAGTCTCTGGTTTGTGAATAGATAACACAATGTCCAGACAACATACTGAAATTAAGTGCACAAGATGAATTTGCTGCGTCTTATCAATGTAAGTCAGACTAATAAACTTGGTAATTTTATATTTCATTGTTTGTTTGTTTTTTTTAACCTATAGTAAATGGTTTTAAAATAAATATTTCCCAGAGACAAGAACAGATTCTCAAGAATCATTCCGGGTTCTTATGGCCTTTAGGCAGTTAATTAAAATCCCGACCAAGTGTTAGATGTTTACATTCCAGTAGCTTAATTAAAATACTGTACCTTATTTGTGCAATATTTACGATACAATGAATGCCTTGAGATGTGTTGTTTATATGAACGCCACCTTTTGAGTTTCAGAGAAAAAGATAATTTGAAAATGGTAACTGATTAACACTGATATGGCTTTAAAAGACCACAACTGAGTAATGCTTTTAGTTTATTTTATGGGGTTTTTTAAATGATTGGATTAATGTAAATTAATTGTATCTATTCTGCAGAAGATCTTTTGTAGGTAGACTGCTGATCTTGATAAAATAATATATGAAAATTTTAATGGCTGAATGGTTCTGTTTTTCTTAGCGGCAAATCCCTATTTTGATGCCCTTCCACATAATTTGTGCCTTTTATTCTGGGGCTATCACTGCTTTAATTGTCAGTCTTTTTCCCCTCTTTCATCACCTACTGATGCAAATCACAGTTTCATTTACTTTTTGGCTGAGAGAGGACAGTATCTGTATTCTTTAAATCTGAGGATGCAATTTAGGGGTTTCTCTGAAGCAGCTTGGAAACAGGTGTTGGAGCAAAAAAGTAAAGTATACCCGCCCCCCACACCATACCAAATGAGTGTGAATAAATGCTGAGTTAGGAACTAAAAATCTTGACATCACTTAGGCATTGTACATTGCATATGGCTGATACAATCCCAGTGAACCAGACTTGTTTAGAAGAGCACCCATTTTTTAAATGAGTATTGTCTCCTTGCTCTCTGTTGTGTGTGTGTGTGTGTGTGTTTAGAAGAGGTAGTGGGAGACTTTGAAATGGCTTGTAATGCAAAAGTGTAATTGTTTTTTTTAACTTTCTTTTTTAGTCTGCGATCTTCAACTTTCAGAGCCTACTGACAGTAATCTTGCTGCTCATATGTACCTGTGCTTATATCAGATCCTTGGCTCCCAGCTTACTCGACAAAAATAAAACTGGGTATGTTATTAAGTCTAGTTGCTTCTAAAAAAGTTTTATAGATTGTCTACTCACTTTGTAATGAACTGTGTATATAATTTGTGTTTTCACACAAGATGTTTAAGAGAGATTGAAATTTTGGTACTAGGCATTTAAATAATTTTTACATACTTCAGAATGTAAGTCAACAGTGTTGTAGTTTGCTCATCCTTACAGAAGATTTTTCTCATCTTAAAATTAAAAATGCTGCTGACATAAATGGGTATCTCCTAAAATGAAGAGGATGAAATGGCATTTGCAAGTGACCATGGAATTTTATAGTCGAGATTTTTATTATATAAAATAAACCCCAGCAAATCTTGCCGGTAGAACTATTCTGTAGATTTTTAGCTTTCTGCCTGAACCGGTGCTTATTAACTTCAACTCTCAGAAATTCGCTATAGAAAAAAACTTATTTGGTCATCTACCAATTTTTCTACTTCCATTTATTCTCACAGATGTGCATGTATTATGTCTGTGTGGTTTTTAAGGTGGGGATGGAAAGAAAGGGGGAGAACCTTTTATTATAGTTCTATTAAATTAAGTCTTTGAGGGTACAAGTATTAAGGAAAATAGTACCACAGATAGTTAAACATTTAACTAGGAATTCAGATTAAAATGAATTTTCAAAATATCGAACAAAGCCTCATTATCTCCATAGAAGTGAGTAGTTTCATCATGCCGTTTTAATATTTTTCAACGATAAGGAACTTGCCTTAGAACCAGTGTTACCTCTAAGCTGCGCACCTGGATGGCTGTACAAGAGTCAGGCACTTGATTAGTAGAGCCGCGCACATCCAGCGACTTATGTTCAGGTGCCCTTCCCCCGTTGCTGTTCGGCTGCACTGCTCCTGCCCTCTGCCTTGAAGCCCTTGGCCAGCTGCTCCCAGGACCCTCCTGCTGCTGTGCAGAGGGGGAGGGGCGCTGATGTCAGGGTGTCCCCCTCCCCACCCATGTACCCCATCTCTGAAGAGCAGGGGTGAGGGGACAGGACTTGGGAGTTAGAGCCGCTGGCAGCCGCTGCACTCTGAATGAGCCTTCAGACTGGTGAGTGCGGCTGTGCTTAAAGAGACAGTGCATGGTCTTTCATGCACTTCCCCAGCAGCCCCCCCACACACACACACACGCACACTGCCCCTCCTCCTCCCCCCCCCTCTCTCTCTCACGCACACAGTCTCTGTCTTGCATGCACGCGCACACATACTGTCTCGCGCACACATACTGTCTGTGTGTCACACACACACACCCCTTCCAACATAAACTTGTGTTGTTGTTACTTCTTGGTACTTCCTGCAATGCACCTATATTCTCTGTAGTTTTACTCTTGCAAAGTGCCGTTATTTTTGTTTTTTGGCTGGTCTATGCATTTCATCATTTTATTTCTCTCTTATGCTTAAATTTAATTCTTTGAGTAGTGAGTTCAAAAATGCCTAACCTGTCCTGGCTGGAGTAATTATCCCTATTATAACTTTTAAAAATATATATATTATGTCTAGGTTTTTTGTTTCTTCTGGTGGCACATATCCGCACATAACCTCGATATTGGTGCACATAACAAAATTCACTCCGCACAAGGATGGAAAAAAATAGAGGGAACATTGCTTAGAATAACTTTAGAAATTTCCTACTCTCCAAACATACAATTGGATTTTGCTGTTTTTGTCCTCCTTTGGCTGCCAACATGGTATTGTCCACTTTGAGTCTTAAAGTCTGGTTCTATTCTGGAAAATGACAGTTTGAAAAGGGCACTAACCTATTCAACAAATTTTCTCCATCTGTGTACTCAGTCATATCAGTATTTATATTAGTATTTATTACTTATTTCTGTTAATATTGCTGGGCCAACCGTTGTGGGAAAATGAGCTGGATTCTGTTCTGGTTGCTTCTCAACAGAATGGTAAATGAGGTACCAATTGCTGGGCTAAATCCTGCCCTCGTTTACACACGTGCAACCCCATTCATCAATTATGTTTGAGCCAGGAAGAGTAGAGCTTGATATTTAGATCCCATATTGAGTTTGCAGGGCTGTCATTTAAAAATACCATCTTTTTGCTTGAAAATACAGCCAATTTGATCTGGAAGCCTTTGAGAACAATAACTATATATTATCCTGCTGTTTCTACATTTACTTTTTAGAACAGACGATTTTTTAACTAATTCTTTACTAAGAGAATTGTATTTGTAAAATCCTTACGAATGATTTACTCTGCAATGCATCCGATGAAGTGAGCTGTAGCTCGCGAAAGCTTATGCTCAAATAAATTTGTTAGTCTCTAAGGTGCCAGAAGTTGTCCTTTTCTTATCACACTGGGGTTTTCTTTTAACTTGTATTTGAATGTCTATATAAGAAGATGCACTAGCCTTTTCCATTTATCTGTCCTTACACAAGAAAATCATACCATTACCATTGAGATGAGGTTCTTGACATTAATAAAGAAGGGAAGACATGAAGATTTACTGAAAGATTTTATTTTTTATCTGAGTTTCTGCTAATGGAGGATAAGACAATAGTCAATGAGGTGAACACAGTAAAAAGTTAGAATATTTATTTTACTGATTAAAATTCTAGTGCTGTTTTTGGCATGTAATACTTCCTTTAATCTGGAGCTACTATGTTTACTCTTGAAGCAAATCTCTCTCAAGTACAATAGAGCTGTCTTTATATCCCAGGAATGTTTTCAAAGGGTGCTATCACAGTGGATGACTTAAGCATTTGATCTGTAGGGTTATATTTACATAGATGTTGGAAGTGCCATTTTATTTTTGTTATATAAAATATTGAATACTTTGTACTAGAAAATGAAATGTCATTGCTTCCAGGCCAACACTTAGTTTCCTGAAAGTTAGATATTTACAAAGAACTAATATACTGTAAAACCCCTGTCCCTTAGTGCTAGAATATTCCATGCTTAGTTGGGAAAGTCTAGACATACTGGATAAAATGAATTCTAGTGATATTTCATCTTACCACAGAAAAGTAGGTACCTCATTATGCCTGCTCCAAATTAGGACCAGCAAAGTAATACTATTTCCTGTTCACTACTCTTTAGAAATGATCAACAGTAATATTCATTAGCTACATTTCTGTACTAAGAAAGAAAATTTGCATATGTTGAGTGTCTGTTACTTTAAATACAATCTCATCTTTGATGGATGGGAGATGATACAGCAAAGTGATATAATATACCCCCATAGCCTTTAAGAAGCCCCTTGTATTTTCTGCTGGCTTTTCTCTTTGCCAAAATAGTATTGAACTGTATCTAGCTACCACCGCAAAACAAACTTTTTAAAACCTTTTCTGACTCTGAAGTATTTTGAGTAGTCCCATGTGCTATATCCTTCCTGTACAATGGTCTTTCTGATATCATTTGGGATGATGGGATGGAAAAAATTCAGGAGTTTTAAGCCTCTGAAAATGAAGCAATTTGTTTTCATCTGCAAACTTTTTAATAACAAACAGCTCTGTCATTTCAATTGAGTACAGTACATTCTTCCCCTCAAGTCATCAGTTTTAAGTGATATCTTACTTGCGATGCCAAAGCTTTTAAATTGTGTGTCACCTATACTCTGCTACTCTTCTGAACATGCCTCTGGACATATTGTTAAATCACAGTTCAGTAAAAAAGTAAAGGAAAAGCCTGTAAAAGGCTTAACTTAAAGGAACCCTGTCAAGGTAAAATTTGGCCCCGTATCTAGATTTTCAGAAAAGTTTTTGGAAAACACCACCAATAATAATGCTTCCATGATCAATTAATTTCCAACGAAAACTGATTTGTTTAAATGTAAACTTTCCTCTCTTGTGTGTGCAACACAAAATGTGTAGCATTGTTACATATGAACCTCAGAAAGATACTTTCTCTACTTTTATTGCCTAACCTGAGAGGAATGCAGAGTAAAGAACATAAATAGTGAAAACAATTAGATATCAAAAAACCATTAGGAGATGGTTATGAGAGCAAATACCGTGTAAGTTTCCCCTCACAGGTTGGCAGAGCACCACTTCTACCCTGGCACTTTGTTGGCAGAGACTGCCATTTGTGTTTGGTGTTTTGGGAGGGCAAGCAAAGGATGAGTTGATCAAATTAAACATTTGAAGTCTTCAGAGGTGAAAAGTTAGTGCTCTAATGCACTGTTTCCATATGGAGAAAAAACTTAAATAGTACATCATGCATCAAATGTCATTTAAATTATTTTTAAATTATCATATTAAATGTAGAACTTTAACAACTTTTTATATATCTATACAGATTATTGGGCATATTCTGGAAGTGTGCCAGGATTGGTAAGTGTGTTTTTTCTCCTTGGCTCTGATAGCTAGCTCAAACTCTTTCCATAATATACAATATTATTACAGTGATTATAGCTGTATGTAGACATGAAAAATATATATTCATATATCAGCTTAAAAATGCAGGATGGTATGAGATCCTGTGGGATTTTGCAGGACTGGTTTTGTAATTGCAGGTTTCTCTAGTGCTAAGTGGACTTGTTACTGAGTGCTTATTAATTGTTAAATTTACAAAATCCTTTGGACTAGGCCTTATTAATTCCTTATATTACATATTATTTCTTTTGATTTATAATAAATGTGTGCAAAAATTACCTATATTGTTAAGAGTTATTGCCCATTAGAAATTCTAACTATAAATGTCTGGCTTTGGGCAGTAATTTCTCATCATAATAAAGGGACCTGGAATTTTTCATGTAGTAAAGTTCTATTTCATCATAAATAACCTTTTTCATTCCCCTTCTTGGTTAGCTTCTCTACTCTTTTCAGCTATTCTTGAAAAGCCATTGGTGCCAAATGGCAAGTATAAAGAGCTTGGTCAGCTGTTTTTATGACCTAGAGGGAAATTTCCACTTTAATTGAAGTCATAATTAATTTAGCCTTCCATGATGCCAGTTGTGGTTAACTTTATATTTCAAATGTCTTTTGGGGAAATGGTACAGCTCAGTGGCAGTTCTGTGTGGGTGTGCTAAGTAAAGAACAATCAGGTATACTTTTCTTCTGTGAATAAAGTGTTTAAAAGAAAAATGAAATGCTAAAGTTTAGATTGTACAATATGCATATAGCCAACATATACTTATTTGTGTAGTTCTTGCTAGTTGCCACTCAAACTTAAATGAAAACTAATTGTTCCCATTTTTCTTTGTCTAGTTATTTAAATGGTAAGACTTATTTCTCACTATAAACAAAGTGCTGGTGTTGTCTATCTTGCCTAAATGAGAGGTCAATTGTGATACTGACATCAGGGAACTCAGTGTCGGAGACTGCAAACAATTTTCTTTTCTAATTCAACACAGTGGAACACTTGCAATCAAAACTTGAATCATTAAAATATTTGGTTGAAATATTTTTCTGCAGCCGAGTGTCTTCCACAATTCTGAACCTGTGGATTGCTCTCCTCTCTCTGCAGCTCATGGAGGTGGAACAGTGTCTTGGTGTCGTTCAGTCGGGCCACACCCAGTTTGCTCCTACTTGCTGCAGTTTCTCTGCCTCCACAGCAGCAGACAGTGGTGATTTCTTTTTGCTCCCACCCTTACTCCTATTTTAATGTCTCTGCCCTGTTTTCTGGGCAATGGGGAACAGTGTTCTCCCACCTTGACGTTCCTCTTGCCTGGGTTGGTTAACCTGTTGGGATATAACCCTTCCTGAGCCTCCACTGCAACATCGACCTGCAGGCTCTTCTTTGCCTGATAGGCATGGCAGAACAGCCAAGAAATCACCAGGTCAAATCCAAGCATTGCTCTATATATGAGGCAGCTTTCCCATGCTCAGCAGATGGCGAGTTGTGCTCAGCCTGGACCCAGCCTTCATCCTTACCTCCATTAGGTTGTGGGGCTCCGAGTCAGCAGACAGGTGGAGACTCCTACCCACCAGGGCATCCAAAACTCCAGCAAAACAAAAATGGACTAGCAACCCCAGCACAGAGCAGGGAGAGGCTCCAAAAGCAAGGAGGATCTGGAGCACTCAATTCAGGGGGTAACTCCTAAGAGTGCCCTGCAGTACAAAGAAGTTAGGTTTGTGGGGCCGCCAGTTCCTTCCCTCCCTGTAAGTTTCAAAGTGGATCTTGAGTGCCCTTGACAAAGAAGCAGAGCTTCTAATCAGTCTCCCTCCCTCCCAAGCAGATCAGGAGGGCTCTGACAACAAATTCCCCCCTTGCTGTGGGAATGGGACCCAGTGTGGGAGGATTTTGAGACAGACCTCTTGAGAGGTCACCAGGGCTGTATGGAAGCCAAGCTGTCAAAGGCCTCACCAAAGTAACAGCAGAGCATCTGCGCTCCCAATGTGCGCTAAAAAGCTTTAAAAAAAAATGTAAAAGGTTAAAATTCTCCTTCTCCTCTGACGAAGGTGAGATTTCTGAGTCTGATACCTGAACAGACCACTGAGGATAAGCCTCAGTAAATTCCTCCCTTGAGGTTGCGATACCTCTTCAGTCTTCCTTCGATGAATAAGCCTAATAAGAGCAAGTTTGGGGAAAACAAAAGTGACCTCAGACTCTATAATATTCGAGAACCAAAGGGCTCTATTGCTGAGACACCGAAGGTTGATGCCATTGTGGCATCCCTCACTAGGGATATGGTTATCCCCTCAGAAGAGGAATCCTGTCCTAAGGAACCCACGGATTGAAAGATGGAGTCCACTCTCAAAAAAGGGCTCTGAAGCCGCCTCCTCCACCCTCTGAGCCTCCCTGGCAGTTAGCTGTTTTTGCAGGAGTATCTATTTCCTGGCTGGAAGATCTTAAAGCCCTTAATGAGAGAGATCATCCTGACCTTTTCTCCACTTTAAAGAAAGTCTCCCTAGCAACAGCATTTGTAGCTGATGCCTCAATAGATGCAGTGAGGTTCTTAGCCCAAGCCACAACTTTCACCTCAGCAGCCAGGCATCACCTATGGCTGTGTCCCTGGAAGGTAGATACGTGTTCTAACTAGGCCTGGTGGTTGGCCAGGTTTACAGGCTTCTTCCTTTTGGGCAAAAAGCTGGATAAGGTGTTGGCTGACAATACAGCAAAATCCAGATGGTGTCCCCCTTCCCCACTAAGGACTCTCAGAATAGAATATAGATAGTGCTTCAGAGAGAGCCACTCTTTTCGCTCCTCTTCCTCTAGAGGTACCAGAAAAGGGACAACAGATTCCCCAAGGAAAAACAGTAGAATCGAGATCCAAAGGGAAAGTCCAGAGGGACCTGGCACCCTAATACACTTTATGACAAAGGTCACATAGGCTTCTGCCTAATGCTGAAGCGAGGCAGGATTTTCCATTTCCTAGAGAAATAGTTTTCATTGAGCACAGACAAGTGGGTCAGGGAAATAGTGAGCCAGGGATATTCCTTCAGGCTGAGTCACCAGCCCATCCATTCTTCATCCAGTCACTCATTTCCAACAACCCATAAAACACAGACTGATCCAGAACAAAATATCTCATCTTCCAGATATGGGAGAGATAGTGTTCCCTCAAAAGAAAGTTTCTCCAGGTTCTACTCCATTGCCTTCATTGTACAGAAGTGCATGAGGGATATCAGGAAGTATTCTCAACCTCAAAAGGCTCAATAAGTAGATGAAGAAAATTAAATTTTGGATGGAGACCTTGACCTCTACTGAGACATACCTGTCTCAGGAGGACTTCTTCATTTCAGTATATCTAGTAGACACATATCTCTATATCCCCATCAGACTGCAATCACAGACTTCTGAGGCTTGCCTGTGGCAGGAAACATTATCAGTTTCAGACATTCCTGTTTGGCCTCACACGGCCCCCAGGTTTTTTTTACAAAGAGTTTGGTGGTGATAACATCCAGACTCAGGTTTCACACAACTCACCTGTATCCTTTCCTGGATGACATCCTGATCAGAGCTCCATTGCAGTCAGCAGCACACAGGGCCATGTCTCAGACATTGAATATCCTCCATGCACACAGCTTCATCTTCAGTGCCAAGAAAAGTTCTCTGATTCTATCCAGGAATTTATTTTCTTGTGCCAAAGCAGCAGAGCCTATCATACACTATGCCTCCAACTGCAAGGGACTCCTGATGGTGTGCGTAGGGATCACTTCATCAACACAGTCACCCATCAGGAGTTTCATGACTTCATACTAAAGATGTGGGACCACTCCCCAGAGCACATGAAAGATAAAGAATGGTTACGACACAGATGTGCATCTATCTGTACGTACAGTGTGGGCTCAGACATTGGTTTTTTGGTCTCATGCAAGATTTTATATTTCTTTTGTCTGAGAAAAATAGGTTAATAAAACATTTCAGCATGTTCATTGCGTGGTTTGGTTTGGTTTGATTTCCTTCCCTTGGATTATGTTTCCTGACATGGTAGGTTGCATCTTGGCATTTCTGCTGTTCACCCCCTCCCCTCTTCTATGACGTCATGACATACTCAGTGTAGGAAAATGGCTTTGGAGATGTTTATATACTATTCTTATCAAATAAAATGTTAGAAGACTTGCACAAATACTTCTACCAAAATGACAGGTTTCAGAGTAGCAGCCGTGTTAGTCTGTATCTGCAAAAAGAAAAGGAGTACTTGTGGCATCCTAGAGACTAACAAATTTATTTGAGCATGAGCTTTCGTGAGCTACAGCTCACTTCATCGGATGCATGTAGTGGAAAATACAGTGGGGAGATTTTATATACACAGAGAACATGAAACAATTGGTGTTACCATACACACTGTAATAAGAGTGATCAGGTAAGGTGAGCTATTACCAGCGGGGGGGGGAGGGGGAAGGGGGGGACTTTTGTAGTGATAATCACGGTGGGCCATTTCTAGCACTTGACAAGAACGTATGAGGGGGGGTGGGGGGATAAACATGAGGAAATAGCTTTACTTTGTGTAATGACACATTGACTCCCAGTCTTTATTCAAGCCTAAGTTAATTGTATCCAGTTTGCAAATTAATTCCAATTCAGCAGTCTCTCACTGGAGTCTGTTTTTGAAGTTTTTTTGTTGAAGAATTGCCACTTTTAGGTCTGTAATCAAGTGACCAAAGAGATTGAAGTGTTCTCCGACCGGTTTTTGAATGTTATAACTCTTGACGTCTGATTTGTGTTCATTTATTCTTTTATGTAGAGACTGTCCAGTTTGGCCAAAGTACATGGCAGAGGGGCATTGCTGGCACATGATGGCATATATCACATTGGTAGATGTGCGGCTGATGTGATTAGGCCCAATGATGATGTCCCCTGAATAGATATGTGAACACAGTTGGCAACGGGCTTTGTTGCAAGGATAGGTTCCTGGGTTAGCGTTTTTGTTGTGTGCTGTGTGGTTTACTGGGTTTACAACAACCCAGGAACGAGTCTGTGGGTGGAGGCCCTGGGGCAGAGCAGTAACTAGGAATTTTGGCACCTGGGGCAAGAAAGCATATTTGCGTCCCCTACCAGAGGCAATGCATGGGCGAGGGGGGCACATGGGGTCACTCCACTCACTTCTTTTTGGTTGCAGCCCCCCAACCCAGATAGACTGGGTGGCCTGCTGAGGTGAGTCAGGGGGTGTAGGTGGTGCTCCCTTCCTGAATCCCACTGTGCTACGCTGCCTGGTGTCACTGCCCCGAGCCCTGACGCACTCGGCCTGCTCTGGTTAAGAGCATGCCCTAGGGGTGGTTTCAGTCAGATCCTGCCCCATGGGGTGAGAAGGGCAGTTTGAGTCCTGCCTGGCATTCACCCCACAGTGGCGGCTCCTGCAGTTCTTATGCTGTGGGGCTGGCGGGGCTTGGCTCTCTGCTGTGGGCCTTGCAACCTTCAGGCTTGCAGCGCTGCTCAGTTTTGGCCCTGCCCCCCTGACTGGACCAAATGTGTGAGAGTGGAGTTGTGACCTGGCTCATGGGGTTGCAGTGCCACTCACTCAAATTTGGCCTACCCAGATTCCTGGCAACATGACGACTGGGCCAAACCTGAATGGTGCTGGGACACCAGAGGTTGCAGTGCCTGGACCAGGGAGGTGAGCCCAGCCAGCCCTGTGGGACCAGGAGCTGCCACATGGCCCTTTAAAACGTTCTGGTGACCCAATTTTTGGGTCCCGACCCACAGGTTGAGCAACGCTGATGTAGAGGGTGTAATGGGAGGGAGCATGGCCAAGCACTGATGAGCTACATCTATTCTTAACGGCTATAGAGCAGCTCAACGGCTATAGGGAGCTGTTTTAAGCTAAACTGTGCTGGGACAGAGCTAGGCAGAGATTTGGGGAACCATAACTGGCTTCTTGCTGACCTCCTCTCTGTTTTACCAAGTGGACTTTGGATGCAGCAGCAAATCTGCCTCTATCTTTTACTTATAATTTTCCCCTTCTCCACCCTCTCTTCCACCTTCCTTCAACATCCTAAAGTAGCTACATTCACATCCTTACAATCTTTCAACTATTGCATATAATTTTCTATTTTACTAATTTAAACAGGATTGTACTCCTTATATCATACATTATATATCAATATATTCTATTAAGCCAGAACCAGTTAGATATAATGTCTGCCTGCTCCTGTGGTGACATCTGGTCAGTAATTCACTTTAATTCTTTCCACCAGGTGAACGGAAGAGTCCATATGTAGCTGTGTGCTGTATAGTGATGGCTTTCAGCATTCTGTTCGCACAGTAGCAACTGAAGAATGTCAAGAATATCTTGCTATCAAGCTAGTGGCTTAACGGACTTTGGGCAGCAAAAAAGATAAAAAGCATATTCTAACCCCTCTATCTCCTTGTTGCGTGTACTGGATGGGCCATACTTTTGGCAAGCGTTTCCTTTTTTATTTTTGTTAGTGGACCATGGTGTACAGTTTAACAAAATGTAATTTTGGAATTGAAGACCTGTATTTTGATTACGTAACGTTAATTTAGTAGTATTGATACTGATGTGTTAAATTCTGCAAAAGTCATTGACATGCATTGTATATTGGATTTCAAAGTGGTTATTTTTAAGCCATGCAGTTGAAAACGAAGTTAATAAATATAAATCAGTTTGAGAGGTCTTTTTCTGTGTGTTTAAAAAGATATTCTTAGAACAGGAAGACCTGATAGGAATAAAAAATCCACATGATCATAGAGTATGGTTACAGAAATGCATTCAGTTCACTATTAATTCATTTAATGAATTCCTGTATATTTCATGGCCCACACATTTATGTACACTAATCATAATACCTCTGGTTTAAATGACATCTGCAACTTTTAATACTTTTTTAAAAAAAATTCCTATACAAATATGCAGTAATAGTCGATACAGGTCTTACCAAATTTAAAAAGAAGCTTTCTACAGTTAAAGATCATAATCATTGCAAATCATGTAGCTTTGCATCTAACTACCTGATTAGAATACACAAAGCTCAAACCAGTAGGTGTATAAACTGTACATGTACACTTTTAGAAGGTAAAGTTCTCCAAATATTTTCAATACTGTACCACAAAGGAATTCTAATGACTGTACAGTTGAGTATTTGTTAATGAGCTGTTTAGTACATCAACTCTTTCTAAACTGAAGATTTTATGTAATCTAGCCATTCATTTAACTGTTTCAGCAGCCTTGTAAGTGCCAGTGTTCTAAAGCAGAGGTGGGCAAACTACAGCCCGTGGACTGTCCTGACCAGGCCTTGAGCTCCTGACTGAGGAGGGTAGCCCCCCTCCGCCGTAGCCATGCTGCCATGCAGGTAGTGCAGCTGGCTCTGGCAGGGCGTTGCGGCTGCTGTCAGGACGGGGAACAGGGGTTGGATAGGCGTGGGAGTCCCGGGGGCCTGTCGGGGGTGGGGGTGTGGATAGGGGTTGGGGCGGTCAGAGAAGAGGGGGGGGGTTGGATGGGTTGGAGGTTCTGAGGGGGCGGGAAGTGGGAGGGGGCGTATAGGGGGGGTGGGACCAGACTGTTTGGGGAGGCACAGCCTTCCCTACCCGGCCCTCCATACACTTTCGTAACCTCGATGTGGCCCTTAGGCCAAAAAGTTTGCCCACCCCGTTCTAAGGGATAAGAAAAGCTACTGTAATTAAATTAACTGCTGTATATTAATGCATGCATTTTGGGTTTATTCCAAAGTTTTAGTCTTTAAAAAACTATCTAGTAACTTATTTTGATAGCATGCCTGAAAGGCATATTTATACTTCGTGACATTTTTGCCTGCATCTGAGAGTTGTCACTGTCACTGTTGAGATTTTGAAAAGCTAAGCTGTGTAATCAGAATGAGCAAGGTGGCAATAAAACAAACTGGAAGATGTACAGAAGTCACTGATTCTTGTTAGAAAAATACATTTCAGTTCCTACAGATGCCTAAGTTACATTGAATGCAAATTGTTTTACATCTCAGAGAAGAAGTGACTTCTATAACCCATTAACTGTTATAGAAGCAGGCCATAGGTATAGCCCAACTGATGCTATCATGCAGTTCTGAATACTAAGATTCATTTTTCTAGCTCCAAAATACAAATATAAGTAAGACTGAGCAGTTGAGAATGGGTCACATTTTTGGCTGCCGTTTGCTCAACTTATGCCAAGCAGTTGGTTCGGTATGCAGCAAGCTAAGATCAGAAGATTACAGAGGTGAACTTTATGACCATTTCACATGCATGCGCACACATGCCCTGACCTGTGCTTTGTGTGTTTTGTCTCTGGTCCCCAAGATTTGGTCCTATGTTTAAATTTGGGCTCCAATAAGCACTTTCAAAGTTACGTGGTTACAGGTTTCCTTTTCCAGAAGATTTTTAGAAACAAAGAAAAAACATATTGTTGCCTTTGTCACATGTAAATTATGCATCCCAAACAAAGAATTATTTGATAAAGCAACTACTGCATGTCTCCTTACGTTAAGAGATTCACGTTTAGTTGTATTTACAGAATTCCAATTTTTTTTAATATTCATGTATAGCCCCACCTCATCTATGGAATTACCCATTTAAACATATTAGTTCCTAATATTCCCTTCTATTCCAAGCCACAGGTTTAACCATATGGTGAAGCAATCCAGTGTTTGTTTTTGCATGCTCAAGTATCCAGAAACATAGCAACTAATACTTTAAAAGAGCTCTCTGGAAAAACCTTTATTTTTCCTTTTCAAAACAGTTGTTACAGGCCAACAAATTCAAAAATAAAAACTTCCTTGGACTATGCATAGTATTGCTTCATTTTAAAACGTTTGATACTTTATGCCTACAAATCTAATTAATTTAACATTCTTGCTGTACAAAATACTTCTGCATATTAACTATGCCTACATCCATCTGTATCCACACTGCAGATGCATCTGCGAATTCTTGACATTGGTTCCCCCGGTGTTTTATAGGAAGCACCACTGAAATCAGTTTCCAGAGTAGCAGCTGTGTTAGTCTGTATTCGCAAAAAGAACAGGAGTACTTGTGGCACCTTAGAGACTAACCAATTTATTTGAGCATAAGCTTTCGTGAGCTACAGCTCACTTCATCGGATGGATTTCCAATGAGGTGAGCTGTAGCTCACAAAAGCTTATGCTCAAATAAATTGGTTAGTCTCTAAGGTGCCACAAGTACTCCTTTTCTTTTTGTGAAATCAGTTGTCGTTGTTGGGACATTGCTTCTATGCTAGCTACCTGTTGGCTGAGCAGTCCTGCTTCTGCAACAAAACGAGAGAAATATAATTAATGGCTAGCCAGTTGCTAACAATGTACACATTAAGAACCAGTAGGGTATCCACATAGCACAGTTTGTTGTGCTGTGCAGTGAATAGTGCCACCTATTCTTAAGGTTGACCATTTCTTCCCACTGTAAGACCTTGTTTCCAGCTCCTTTTAACTTTGCCAGTCTTTAACAATTGAGGTTGAAATTTGCTCTAACAGGCTGATTTTCTGGGGCAAGTTTCAGCCAAAACAGTTCAGTTCTCTCAGAGAACAAGGGTAGCAGAAAATGTTTTTAAAGAAAATATCCATTTTGTTGAGAAGCTTTAACACTGTCCTGTGTTCTGAAGCCCCACCCTTCCCCCATTAGGCAACCTGCAGGAGAAAGGATCTTGACTCAAATGCAGAGGGGAAGGAGTAGATTTGGGCATGGAGGTGGCAGAGGGAGAGACTTGAGATTGGCTAATCAAGTTGACCACAACTGGGAGCTAGGGAACGGGAGGACTGGGAACTACTGAGAGAGGAGATGAGCAGGTGGGGGAAAACTGATCTGATGAGCTGCATTTTGGGGGCAGAACAGGGACTAATTGGGCAAAGACACTGTGATCCACTGATTGAGAGAGAGAACTTCTGGCTGGAGTGTGTGGTGAGTACTGGAGTTAGGAAATGCTTGACTTAAGGTTGCCTGTAAACGTTTATTTGGACCTCTTGTGCATATGTATTATGCTACAGTCTATAATTACATGATCACATAACCATTTTTTTTTCCTATAAGACCCCTGTTTCATTCAGTGCACAGGATTTGACCAGCTTTGGCTTCTTACAACTATCTTAAATGAAAGGTGGTGGTTTTGCTCAACCCATAACAAAAACATTGTTTACAAGTGACATCAGCACTTCTGTAAAGCCCTAGATTAATGAACCCTGAAGAGATTCGTGCTCTTTAGCAGTAGGTCAGATGAAGCACTGAAAATTGTAAACTGCGTTCTTTAAACTAGACTAATTGCCTTGTCGGTAAAAATGTTTTCTTCAAGTCCATGTCATCTTCAGTCGAGCTCTCTGAGACTGTCATGAGAGCATTTGTGTCAATATAGGTAAAATGGGGACTTGTCTCCTAGGAACAGGATTAAAACCACCAAATAAATTTCACATAGGCCACCAAAGTGCTCTTAGATGATATCCTACTGTTCATTACTGAGCTAAATTGAATTAGTGGTTGCCTCTTAAGGGTGAAAGACTATCCCATTACCAGTCAACACTATCTTGTTTCCTTTTAGACCAAAACGTTATTTGATGGTAAAGGCTCACATTTCTGAGCCTTTCCTCTGATTCTCTGTCCAACCATGGGATGCAGATGTGAATATTTTCTCCTCATTTTGGAAGACTGAAGGAGAGGAATGGTGTAAGTTAGGATGCACCAGAGATTCCTGTCAAGAAACTAGTTTTTCTATAGATTTCCAAAGATAAAAAATAGTTTTTTTTTAGAAGCTACTTTCTTCTCAGTATTCTGTTTTGCAATGGGATTGTTAACCTCTTATTGTTAATCATCCCTTATATTTGATGGGTAGGACAGTGCACAGAGTGCTATTTCCAAAGCACTTGTGGGGGACTAAGCACCAGAAACAAAATTAGAGTTTATTTATTTATTTATTTTTTAAATGAAAAGCCTAATGCAGTTTTCAAATTCTTTGCAATGTTTATTTTAGCAATATCCAAAATGATCTGTGAGGCAGATAGTGCTGGTCACCTGGTGCTAATGGCTATTCTTTGCTTCGGTGACCATCCTAACTCGTCACAACAAACATTTTTTCAAAAATGACAATACTTGTTAAAGATGCATGCCAATTTTTCTTCTATTACCATATCAGGTGAACAATTACTGTTGCCACATGGCTATTGAAAGACACTGAGAAACAGTCTGTTCCTGACATACACCAGGCTATGCTTTTTATACTTATTGCTGATAGAAACACTGTGGTTGTTTTAACTGTGGGTGCTTTTACAAAGGAAAACAATGTCCACTGAAAAGGTCCAGATTAGAAATTACTCAGAGATTGCAAACCAATAAAAAGCATTTTGGTATTTGTTCTAATTGTCTCTGCCAAACGAAGGCTGCTTTGAATTGTTTTGTCAGGTAATTAGCCTTAAAGTAACCATGTTGGAGAGTCTCTGTGTAGAGCAGGGGTCGGAAACCTTTCAGAAGTGGTGTGCCGAGTCTTCATTTATTCACTTTAATTTAAGGTTTCACGTGCCAGTAATACATTTTAATGTTTTCTAGAAGGTCTCTCGCTAAAAGTCTATATATTATATAACTAAACTATTATATGTAAACAAGGTTTTCAAAATGTTTAAGAAGCTTCATTTAAAATTAAATTAAAATGCTGATCTTACACTGC